AGAGAAACTTAATAAGTATTGAACAGGGTTAGATTTACTTGCAATAAATGCCACTTCTACAAAAGAACACATTTAACCTCGCTTTGATATGAGTTGTTACCTCATTTCAAATGCGAGGTAACAAAAAGCGTCATAAAAAATGTGTCATTTTACCTCTCAGTTTGAATTAAACCGACGATTAATGTGTAAAGTTCATGGGTTTATTCCCTAGAGAGATCCTTTTTGGAGTTTTTAAAAGGCAGAAAAACAATTCCCCTCGGATTTGACTATCCCTCGACGGGTAAAACAACTTTCACCTCGGTTTTGAAATTCAACCAATGCATAAAAAACGATTGAGTTTATTATATCTAAAGTGGTTTGCTTCTTATACTAAGCCCAAACCTGACATATAACTTCTCAAATTTATTAGAAAAATAATTATATGAACAATTATGTAATATTTGAAGAATAAATTACACTACTCAATAATTTTCTAGCATCTTGTAACTCATTACTCATCATTCTTTATTCAAAACTTCCTTTTATATTAATTCATTCTTGAAAGTATAAAATTTAATGGTTGCAAAATGAACAAGTATGGAAGAAAGTTGAACGAAAACTAGAAGTATTGAAGAGATTTTAACAATTAAAGAATATGAGATGAATGATGAGTTGCATAATACTCGAAAAACATTGATTAGTGTAAGATATATTTCAAATACAACATAATGTTTCATATTATTATTTCCAAAATCAATTTAATAGGTTATATGTTCAAGAGAGGTTAGTGAAACAAACAATCGACATTAGATATAATAAACTCAACTCGATAGAACAAGATGAAAATGCACAAAGAATCACAAAAACATAATATCAAAATCAATATAAATCTCAAACTTAAACTCAATTACAACAATTAATTACAATATATAACATTTCATAACTTTGGGAAGTAGAACAACTAAACAATAACAACAATAACATCAATAACTCAAAAGAAACTACTTACATTAATCTGTAAACATATAACATCAATGTGTTTGAACAACAACGACAATATGTTTAAACAACACTAAAAACAAGATTAAACCTATAATAACAACAACAATATCAAACATATAACATCAATCTGTTTAAACAACAAAATTAATAATATTAAACCTCTAGGGTTTCTGATCTCAACAACAACAACGACCATAAAATAACAACAAACAACAACAATAACAACATTAATGTAACATGAATAGTGATGTTTGACGTACCAGATATGTGAAGAAGAAATGAGAAGTGATTTGGATCTTTCATTCAAAAAAGTATTGAACGATGTGTATTTAAGACTCTCGTTGTTTAGGTCTCTTCGTTAGAGTTTATCTGTGTTGTTTTAATCCAACTGAAATTAAATGTTACAAGCTAAGCTATATATATATATATATATATATATATATATATATATATATATATATATATATATATATATATATATATATATATATATATATATATATATATATATATATATATATATATATATATATATCCAAAAAACAAATTTACCTCGATTAGAAATTAAAACTGATGTGAAAAGTGGCTTATTCTTATATTAAAAATAAAATATGCAGGAAGATGCCACTTTTAATGAAATTAAAACATAAATTGAAGTTGCGGAAATTCGAAGCATGTACCCTAAATTAGTTTACTCAAAACATTTCAACTAAAATTGACGGAATATATTGCATTTTTTTTAAAGAAAAAATATGGTGTGCCTAGGAATTATATCTCGATTTTTTTATATATGAGATGAAATCGTTGTCAAAAAATATAATTTTTTTAGTAATGTGTGATCCTTCATTCTTCATCTATTCATATCGACAGATCACCATATGTGTCTTAGTTTATGTTATTTATATTCTCACCACTTGTTCACCCTCTAGACTAGTTTACTAAATAAAGATGAACAATGAATCATAGAGTGATTCATTCTCTCGTACTCCCTTTAGCCATTATTATAAATAAATATTCTCTATTTAAATTCATTGAATAATGAATGTATTTGGTCTTTTATGTACAATGAACCTAAAAAAAAAAAACTTTGCTTATAAATAAGGTCGGAGGGAGTATATGTCTTTGATCCAACACCAATGTTGCGCATTCCTTCAAATATCTTAAGAGTAGTATCAAAGTCTAGTTTGATTTATTGAATACTGGGTCAATATTTCACTCTTTCTAAAATGTGTTTGTAAAAACAAATTGCAATTTGTGAATTGATGCAAACCCACCGGTTTTCACTAATTCAATTACATTTTCAACTTTTCGACCTTTTTTGTATGCTCTCTATCAAGATGGTTGAACGTGATTTTAAAACATTGTCCGATTGAATCTGATATTAAAATATTAATTTCAAGAGTAATTTCTTTTGTTGAATTAAGAATGCAAGGGATTTTATGCTTGATAAACAAGGTTGTTGATATTGGTGAACAATATGTATTATAACACAAGAAATAAAATCTTATCACAGCTAAATCGTAATTAAATAAAATTTCATTACATAGTGAACTGTAACTAATAAACTATATATATTTTATCAGAGTTAAATAATAAATAATTTAAAAGTCCTATGGAAATCTTTAAAAGCTTAAAATGGGCTTATTAAGAAAGAATGTTGTCACGTATCAAATTTGAGTTAAAAAATTCATATTGAATAGAAAATAGATATTAAACTCTCTCTCTATGTATATATACTATACACTTCATAACTTAAATTTTGTAGGTGAATATGTGATCTTCAACTTTACTTTAATGTGGCTTCTTTTATGGAAGATTTAATTTGGCTTCTTTTATGGAAGAGTACACAAACCATTTACACACGTGTCTCCAGCAGCAAAAGGAGATGCTACCAAAAGACTCCAAAATTTCAAACTACTAGTATGAACATTACTCAACAACATTGCAGGACCATTCATAAAAAAGAATTCACCAACCCATTTATTTTTTGACTATAAATTTTACAATTTCCAACAAGTAGTAAACTTAATCTTATCTCTTTTAATCTAATAAATTCACTTGTAGAATTTAAGAAAATAACCTTATTTCTAAGTTTGAAAAGACAAAATAACCAATCACTATATCATGTCAAATACACATCCTCTCATTAAACAAAGTTGTAAAAAATTCAATCAAAATCTCATTTTAATTAAGAATACAAAACCCTTTTATTTATGAAAGATGTTGATACATTAATAATTCAATTATTGCAATGTTCACATATAAGATTACAAATCTTTCGGCTCATAATATCCATTAATTAATTGAAGATGTTGATATCCCTAACTCCCAACAAACCATTACCAATTATCTTGACCCCAGTCAACAAAATCTTCTTGCCAACAGTGCTAGAAACCATAGTGAAACACAAAAGAAACCTTCTATTTAATGCATGTATATATATATACTCACTACCAAATAACAGAGCAATCTAAAACTACCATATCGGAAGAAAATGGATCACTTGCCAACTGCATTATTTTGTTTAATGCCAACCTGTATACTACTTCAAAGGAAGTGTATTTTATGATTGGTAGATAGTACTCATTCTATTAAATTGTAATCCCTCCTCTACAACCGCTGTAATTAGAATATGATTTTAAGTCATATGTCTGACCCACTTAAGAGATCACATTAAACAACTTCCATTATTTTTAATTTATTATTTCTTATTTAATATTAATGATAATTTAAATACATCAATAATTAATTATGTAATTTGATAAACTTATTATTCTCTGCTTTATTTATTATTGTTTTTTAATATATATGAAATGGTGAATTACAATTAATATGGCACGGAGGTTTTATTACTTTTTAAAACCTTTTTCAATATAATTCTTTGAATTTAAAAGTCAAAGTTAATCAATGAAATTTTTATAAATAAAAGTGAAAACAGAAATATTTTTCTCAAATAAAAAACAGCCCCTAAACTTTCCTTCCAACATCATAGCATTTCGTACATTTGAGTCCTAAAATTACAAGCAAAGTACATAAAGTAGTATTTCACTTACATGATTTTGCACAATATTGATGAATATACACAGAACTACGACCGGTAGTATTTTCTATGCAAATACACATAAAAAAACCTATCATGTAGTAGTAGTAGTAATTATTTAGAAAATAAATAAAAATTACAAATATCATGATATAAAAATAAAATAAAAAGTGAAACAATGAAACCAAATGACTCTGATCACATATCACTTCAACAAAGAGACAAGAGAAGAGGCAAATGGCATCAAACAGTAGAGTAATAATGAAACAATTCTTTTACCCTCTTGAATCAAACTCATTTTCTCCCAATCAAGTAAACTAGAGTTTCACAATCTCAGGAATATGAACAGGATAACGATCGATGCATTCTGTCCAAGGTCCATGGACAGGTGTTTTAATACTTGTGTTACATTTCCAAACAGCACTGTTACATTTAAATCCACTGCCAAATGCTATCTGCCAAACCCTATCTCCTTTCTTCATCCTTCCTTTGGATTCAATGTAGTTAAGCTCATACCACAGCGACGAAGAGGATGTGTTACCGAATCTATGTAGCGTCATCCTCGACGCTTCCACGTGTTCGGTTGATAGTTGAAGATTCTTCTGTAACTCATCGATGACAGCACGACCACCAGCGTGGATACAGAAATGCTCGAAAGCTTGTTTGAAATCTGGTATGTAGGGTTTCCATTTAGGGTTGAAGATTTTTCGACCAATGAGTGATATCAGAAAGAGTAACTGTTCTGAAGCAGGTAAAACAAGAGGACCCATTGTTGTTATATTTGATTTTAGAGCTTCACCTGCAATTGCCATGAGATCTTTCTGAAGTGAAATTCCGACTTTGCCCTCTTTGTCTTCTTCTTCAAACACACATTTAAATGCTTTATCATCACCTCCTTTATGTGTTCTAACAACATGGACTAATCTGTATTTAGCCCTCCGTTTCTCAGACGATCGATTCGAAATCAGAATCGCTGCACCGCCCATTCTGAACAAACAGTTCGGCAAAAGCATGGCTCTTTCATTCCCTTGGTAATAGTTTGGTGTTATAATCTCGGTACTAACAACGACCGCGTTTGAATTCGGATGAACTTGAAGAAGATCGCGAGCTAAATCGATCGAAATGAGTCCCGCACTACAACCCATTCCAGAAAGATTGAAGCTCTTGATGTTACTTCTGAGTTTATATTTGTTAATCACCATAGCAGACAAAGAAGGTGTTGGCGAAAAAAGACTACAATTGACTATGAGAATGTCTATATCTTTCGGTTTAAGACCGGTTTTCTCGAACAAAGAATCCATAGCTGAGAAAATTACAAGCTCAGCTTCACCTCTTGCTGCTTCCATGGTTGGTTTCGGCGGAATATAATGAATGGAAGGCGGTAAACAAGTTTCTTCGCCAAGACCAGACCGCTCAAGAATCCTCATTTGAAACTCGACACTTTTCGGATTATTTTTGAGGATAAGTCTCGAATGTTCCATGAAAGTAGCGAAAGGAACACGACAAGTAAACGGGGGTTTGAAACAAGCATAGTCGACAAGGTAGATTGTACGAGGCTTCGACATGAAATAAACCGTGGATATGAAAATGACAAGGAAACAAGAACATAGGATTTGAACGAGGTTAAAGTGAAGTGAATTCCAAAGTTTCAGAAGTTCATTTGGACCTAAACGTATAATTTCAATGGAAACACCAATCATGATAGGTATAAGAGTGAGAGTGATGATATGGTTAACAAGATATTGGTAACCAAGTTTGACATATTTGAGCTTAACTGAGCTAGAAAAATCAGGCAAGATTGGAGGCATGTTTAAAAGTGCTTTTTTTTTTAAGTGATTGAGAAGAAGAAGATGGTTTGATAGGAAAGTAGGATGGAAGAGAGGTGTGATTATAAAGGCAAAGGGGCCAATGAAGTGAAGGGGGCAGATGAGAGGAATTAATGTAGGACTTCACGTCACTCAACGCTCACTTAACATTGGTATTAATTTCCATAACTTCCCACTTCGACATCTAACTAAACCCTAACACACTTACACCTGTAAAGTTGTAACATAATTGATTTTTTTAATATTATTTTACTATTATTATGGTTCTCTTATCTTACTTAACATCTTTTGTTAAAAAAATCTTTAGAAATGTGGTTTGGTTTGAAAGACGGATAGAGGATATCCGTGTTGTTTCCAACCATATTACATCTGTGATGGATCTTAAATATATTTGTATTTGTCTTTATGTCCAAGTGTCCAACTAAATATGGATATCTACTTTTTTTTTTTAAAAAGGTAAGACACTTTATTATTTTTTTAACGCTTTCACTTTTTTTTTTAGTTGTTCTGATCCTAAGTTTTATTTATCAAAACAAATGCATATTATTAATTAAAAATTGTTCAAAGGAGAAATTAAATTAAATATATTACGTCAAATCTGATAATGGACAGTCCTTATTAAAGAATGAGCAATCAATTTTTTTTTGATGTTTAATAAATTTAACTTTAAAGTTGAGATAAATTTATAATAAATTAATAGACTTAATAAAACTTGAACTCACTTTTATATTTCGAGTTAATAGCTTGAATCATTCTTTGAGAAACACTTTTTTAAGATAACATACTCCATTTGCATAACAATAGCTCCATGAACTACCTTTTTAAGGGTCATGGCTTCTGCTTCAATGACGAAGAGGGTACCTAAATCCCAAGCAACACCTGCAATGATGAAAATTTCTAAATTATCACGCAGACACCATCCTCTATTAGTAGTATCACAGTGTTTATTAAAAGCTACATCTACGTTACATTTCAACCACCCTATAGATGGTGGAATCCAAGACATAGTGTGAGGATGATCATTCTTGTAATCATGTTGCTCTTGTGTCGTAAACCATTCATGCCACTTTTGAAACACAAGTAAACCCAATTTAGATGCTTCCTCACGCTCATTATGTCATATAAGATCATTCCTATTCTTCCAAATCACATATATCATAACCGCAACTCTACCACCAACCCTCATATCCCCATTCTTTCAAATATCAAGAAATAGATACATAACATCATTAAAGGAGTGAACACGAGAGTCTATAAGATCTGACAAACCCGTTGCTCTCCAACACTAATTAGTCTCGTTACCCCAAAAAAAGATGATAATTGTCTTCCATACTATTCTCACAAAGCTGACAGACTAACGGGCACTGAACATAGTGTTGTCGGAGTCTAATACGAGTCGGTAAACAACCCATACAGATTCTTCACAATAAATGCTCAACTCTTGGCGAAGCTTTAATGTTCTAGAGACTACACCAATCATCCCTCACACTTTCATTGGCAAACCTAATATGAGATTTTCGGCACCTTCTATATCCAGACCGCACATTATAAGTACCATTTTGCTCTTCATTCTAAATCAACCTATCTTCTTTAATATCCTCCAACAATGGGACCTGTAAAATTTCTTCAGAATCTGCATGGTCAAATAGCTCTCTTATGACCCGCATATCCCATTGTTTTACATTAGTAACATATAATTTTTAACCGTAACATCATATGCACCTTACTTTTAAGGACCACTCATACACCCATATGTTTTTCCCCGAAACCAAGGTTCACTCATTTTCATGATATGACTACCATCCCCAATGTTCCACCTGCAACCTAAAGTTAAAACTTCCATTGCTTTCCAAATACTCCGCCAAACAAAACATAGATTGTAACCCAAATTAACATCGAAGAAAGAAGTTCTAGGATAGTACCATGATTTGAAGATTATGGATACAAGAGATTGAGGTTTTGTCAGCAGATGTTGCCATTGTTTAGCAACCATAGCCATGTTAAAGACTTTAAAATCTTTGAATCACAACCAACCTTCCTTCTTAGTACAAGCTAGCTTCTCCCATCACATTCACCATATTCCACAATTATTACTACCTTCTCCCCACTAGAAAGAATTCAACATCTTCCCAATGTCGGTAATTACATAATCTGGAAGGATAAAGATACTCATTATATAAGCTAAAATTGAATGAAGAATCAATTTGATCATAACTTCCTTCCATGCCTTTGATAACAACCGAGCTCTCAAAGAATTATTTTTATTCTAAATGCGGTACTTGATAAAGGAGAAAGTAGCATTCTTACTCCTACCAATCATCGAGGGAAAGCCTGGATACTTAGAAGTTCCCAACACATGACAAACTTCCATAATGTAAGTCAGATCCTTCTAAGCCGATTTGGTCATGTTATGGATAAAAAATTCTTCTGACTTCGTCAAATTAATCTCTTGGCCTGAAGCGTCTACATAAATATTGATAATCTTCATGAGAGTTCTCACTTCAATTAAATTTTCCATGTAAAATAAAAAAAAAAGTCGTCAACAAAAAGTAGGTGGGACACGCTAGGTGCCCCTACAATCGTCACAAAAAAAGTTTTGATCCTAAGATATAAGTTATAAATTGAGTAAAGCTGGATCAAATCTTCAGACGCGGTGGAGAGGTGGCTGACCTCCAAGGTTAACACTCAAACACCTAAATCAATATGTGAGAGAGAAGAGTGAATTGAAATTAAATTTCAAACTTTTTACCTTTGGTGCCTTATCAATATATAGTTGATATGGAATAACAAACTCACTATTTGTTACGAGTAAATTGTGAAGAGCCCTTGTATGCACTTGTAATTGAGATCCTTTGTAATCATCAGGGTGAAAGTTCTAGTGTGCTAATAATATTTTGTAAGGATTGTGGTTCCTTCATGGTGGTCGGTAAAGGTTGATATGTTCGGCCCAAAATAATTTTTCCCAAGTGCTTGCTTATGCGCAACAAGGCAAGGGTTTGTCACATCAGCCTCAGATGTCGACCACTCTCTTGTTCATCTTCAGAAGGGAAAACAGAAATGTTACAATTTATTAGGGATTCTCACATTTGATTCTCCATGCCTTAAACGTTTTTTTGGAGCTCTCATCATTACGACTATTGGGAATTGAAACACTTGAGTGTTACGTGCAAGTGATTTGATGCTTTTGACAAAGTCTACTTATTTTTGCTTGCTAGAGTATAGTTCTTGAAGAGTTGTTGTTTTATCTTCTTTTTCTTTGAGTCATTTCCTCTGTTTGTCGGTTATCGTCTTATTTGACACTTTTCTTTCCTATATTTGAAGAGTTAGTGCATAATGGCTAAAAAATCACTGAATAGTGCTCACAAATCCCAAAACAATGCTCCATCTTCCTATGCTCTTGTTTCTTAAAATTGGATGTTGAGACATTTTAGGAAACATGTAATTTTGTTGCTTATTTTAAGGAGAAGTTTATACATAAATTATGCAGCAATCGGTTTTTGGATTTGCATCTTAATGATTAAAGAGCCTAAAGTCTATGCTTGCCAAAGACTTTTAAAAGGACGTTCTAAGCCTAATACTATCAGCTAAGTCGTGCGTATCAAATGATTTTCCTGGTTTTAGTTTGTTTATTGTTTATTTTGAGCCACTCTCATATAACCTTGATGTTAGAGTTGGAATGAGTTTGAGTTATAATTTTCAATCACTCATAAGTTTTTAAGCAAGAGTGGATTATGTGTCATTAGAAGTGTGTCTTCTATTATTTGATTAAATTTGTTATCAATGTTATGTGATTGAAGGGAAGTGAGAGGTGTCTCATATCTAGAACTATCTTAGATAAAAATAGCATAGTTAGTGATTAAGTGAGAACATTTTAAACCAGAGGTTGTTTACTTTGGCTTCAAACTAATACTATTTTAATGGATTTCCTCCCTGGCTTGGTTTCCCCCAGATGTAGATGATGTTGTACCGAACTGGGTGTTAGTTCTCTTGTTTTAGGATTGGCTTAATTTTTTGTAAAACAAATAATAACAACAATCATGTAATATAGAATAGGATGTATAAACCTGCTAAGAAGAACATGTACAACAAGAAGTCCTATTACAATGTCAGAACATGTTGGGTTGAACTTTTTCAACAACTGGAACAACATGTCGAAGAAGATGTCTTCAACATTGCGCCTACTGAGCTGGATTGATGAGATTCAGTTTATTCTTAACAGAGGCGGAATATTCATGAGAATATTATGCATCCTATGTGGCGCATATTTAAAGGTCTAGAAAATTCAATCAGAAATCAAGGAGAATGAATAGTTTCTAAATAAGGAGATTATTTAGGAAACTAAAGATATAAGACCTTTCTTGGGGCAGAAGTTTTTGCAGTTTGTTACAGCTGACTTGCTGTGATTGAAGGCCTAAAACCAGTTGGGTAACAGGTTATAAATAGAAGGGTTTGCAACCTATAAAAGATATGGATCAAGATGTAGAAGTCTAGGGTTTTGTTAAGGTAAACCTCCCGGGTTGTGGGAAGGTTACCATGTTCACCTCGAAGCCTGTAGGTAAGAGGTGTATTATTCTTTGAGGAAGCTTTGAAGCAACTCTAGGATGTCTTAGGAGAAAAGCTAACAAATAGTGGAGTTTGTCTTGGAGACTTAGCTAGGTTTTCTTTTAAGTGTATCTTCCAAACTGTCTATCTGTGTGATCAGAATCTTGGTGAAGGGTCGTCGATGCAGTGATTGAGGTGTTGACTTCTAGACATCATTGTGATGATTGGAAGAGGGATGGGGATATTCCATATCTAGGGAGGACCTAGGTAGAAATTTCATTGGATAGTGATTAAGTGTGTAGATCGTCAACGGGTGTGTTGGTTGTAGGGTCTTCAAATTGATACTATTGATAGTGGACTTCATTCTTGGCTTAGTAACCCCTATAGTAGGTGTTGTTGTACACCGAACTGGGTAAACAATTCTAGTGTGTTCTTTATCT